ACATCAGCATCTCAGGTGCGCATGCCGTGACCCTGGCCACCTTCTAAGCAGGTCCTCTGCCCGCGAGTGTCCGTTGTGACGTCCTCTGTGGTGGCAGAAAGTACACAGCAGCCTGGGGGTCTCCATCAGTAAGGGAAGAGTCAGCAGATGGAGGGACAGCCAGCAACGGGAAGCCACACAGGCAGTGAAAAAGATGATAGATGACGATGTCCAGGCATGGAGGAATGTGCTGGACGTGCCCCGGCTGGAGAAATCATTGCGCGTCCTGCAGAAACGTCCGGGACGGAGCTTACACCTACCTCTGAATTAGTTTGCCGCGGTGGTGGGAGCAGGCTCCCACAGACTGGGTGGCTTAAAGAGCAGAAAGGAATGGTCTCCCGTTTCTGGGGGCTGGAAGTCCGAGCTCTAGGCGTCAGCTATTTTCGCCTCTTCTGAGAGCTGGGAGAGAATGTGTTCCGTCCCTCCCCTGCAGCTTCTCGTGGTTTCCTGGCCACCTTTGGCCTCCCCTAGCTGGTGGATCGCTGCCTGCCTCTTCACATGCCTGTCCCTGAACTTCACCCTTTTATAAGGACACCAGTCATACTGGGTGAGGGTCTGCCAAGCTGAACTCATTTGAACTCAAAGGGTCTGTAAAGACCTTTTCTTTATATGGAAGCTTATGTTCTGAGGGACTGGGGATTGAGGCTTCCAACGTGCGAATTTGGCGGGGACGTGATGAGCAACCCATAAGGACGTATAAAGGCCCTGAGGGAGGGATGCACTGGGCCTGCTCCAGGGATGGAAGGAAGGCCTTTGTGGCTGCAGGGTGGTGAGTAGAGGGGAGAAGGGAGCAGATAGCAGGGGGTTGGGGTGAAGATCACGTGGGGCCTTGAGGCCCTGGCGAGAAGTGTAGATCTGTCCTGGATGGGACAGGCGGCCCCTCGAAGGTTCTGGCAGGGGAGTGACAGGATGGGTCACTCCTGTACCAGAACCGCTCTGTCCACAGTGCAGACACTAGCGTGCTGCGCGCCCACGGCGAGTCTGAGGATGATCGGGAGACCGCCCGAGAGGGCAGCGGATCCTGGGGAGACTTGGACTAGGATGGTGGCCGTGGCGACGATGGAGAGGGGTCAGGCTCTGAGGAGGTTGGGGGAGCGGCGCCCGTGTGATGTGAGTGCCCGGCGCAGGAAAGGGGGCCCGGGCAGCTGCTGGGTCGGGGACTGGAACGACAAGACACATTGATGGTGAAACCACTTGCAGAGGTGGAACGGAAGTGGATTTGAGGGTGGCGGTTGTTGGGGACCTGAGGCTACTGGCTCTGGAAGGTGGAGACGAAGCGGGAGTGGCCCGTGTGAAGGGCGACGGAGCAGGCGAGCCTGCAGTGTGCCAGTCTGAGAAGAAGGGAGGGAGGGGTGGTTAAGGGCACTGGGCTGTCGGGCCACGACTTAGATGAGGACAGAACAGACACGAGGCGGGTCACTGGTGCCTCTGGTGGCCCGTGTGTTCCTGGAACGTGGGGGGTGGTGCATGGCGAAGGGGCAGAGGCCGCAAGCGTAGACTAGTGTTCTGGGGACCTCTGCTGTGCAGAGATTCCGAGAAGGCCTCAGGAGCCCGAGGCCTGTGTGGGCTGGGGGAGGGGGCGGGTTGGGGGCAGTCTTTGTCCTTGTGGTGAGGGCTACACAGGTGTGGCAAACCCAGGGGCCTCCCCACGTGTGCTCTCCTGGGGCTCAGTGGCCTCTGTTGTGGCACTGACCACATGCTGTCCTGGCCATGCCTTTGTCTGGCCGTCTCCACCCTCCTGCGCGAGCTCGCCAGAGACTCCGTCTGATGGACAGGTCGTCTTGAGCACCGGCCCCTTCCTTTGGGCCCGTCAGCTGACCGTGTAGTGGTAGAAGGAAGGAGCCAAGGCTCTCTGCTCCCCCACCACGTCGGTGGGGTCCCAGGGCGACCCGTGGGACACTGGGGAGAGGTCTTGCCCGCGGGTCATGAGCTGGGAGCGCCGGGCGTGATGCTCATTGACGTGCGTGGTTCCGTGTTTCCGCAGGCCGGGTGAGGCCCCGGAGCTGTAGGGAGATGAAGTTCGGCTGCCTCTCCTTCCGGCAGCCTTACGCTGGTTTTGTCTTAAATGGGGTCAAGACCGTGGAGACGCGTTGGCGTCCTCTGCTGAGCGGCCACCGGAACTGTACCATCGCCATCCACATTGCCCACAGGGACTGGGAAGATGGCGCGTGGAGGAAGCTGCTGGCCGAGAGGCTTGGGATGAGCCCCGCTCAGATTCAGGCCTTGCTTCGGGAAGGGGAGAAGTATGGCCGCGGTGTGATAGCAGGCAAGTGACCGTAGTCCAGAGGCTGCTGGGCCATCTCCGAGGGCTGCCCCCCAGCGTCTGGCTCCGGGTTTGGTGGCTTGTTTTCTTTAGAACTGCTGGGTGCCTGGGCCGTGGTTTCTTTAAGCAACACACCCTTCAGAGGGGCAGCCGGGGACCCTGGGCTCGGGGGCTGGGGGTCGCGGGGGACCCACCACCTCGGGGGAAGCCTGCATCCACTCTGGGCCTCGGTTCCGTTCTTGATCTTGGAGGCAGGGACAGGTTCCCAGACTCCACGTGGCATTTGCCTGCGGGTATGTATGTGTACACCCCTGTATTTGTGCACGAGTGCGTGTGTCTGTGTGTGCACGCACGTACACGTGGCAGAGACCCTGGGAGGCAGAGACCACAGGGCCTGGGGTGGTTTGGGGTCGCCTCCAGACTCAGGCTGTTGCCTGGCTTTGCGGGCGATGCCCCACCCCCATGGTCCCCGCATCCTGGATAAGTTCCCTGGAGGGGTCAGGTCCCACTGCTGGACCTGCCACCTGCCGAAGTGCTTGGGGACCTGACGGACTGTTCCTCCTGGCGTCTGGAGCCCTTCTGATCTCTGCCTGCTGCCCTGAGCAGTTGGGCAGGGACCTGCCCGATATTTGGGTGTGGTCATTGAGGACAAGGCCCTCCACTTCCTTTCTCTCCCTCCCTCGGCCTCACCCAGAATTCCCTGAACAGAGTTTGGCCCTGTTGGAAATGCTCAGTCAGAGGGGCCCAGCATATTCCGTGTCCCCTCGGTGAGACTCCCTTAGTCTCTGGTGCTTGGAGCGATCGATAGCTGTGTTCTGCAACAGGTGGGCCTCGGTTTCGGGAGGAAAAACCACCGTGTGCTTCTCTTTGCACATAGGGCTTATTGACGTTGGGGAAACTTTGCTGTGCCCAGAAGACTTAGCTTCTGAGGAGGTCGTGGAACTGGAAAATCAAGCTGTCCTGAGCAGCCTGAAGCAGAAGTACCTCACCGTGCTTTCGAACCCCAGGTGGTTGCTGGAGCCCATCCCCAGGAAAGGCGGAAAGGACATCTTCCAGGTAGACATCCCAGAGCACCTGATCCCCTCGGGGCGGGAGGCCTGAGGAGTGGGCAGGCTTAGGGAGGAGCGCTGCGTCCTGCCCCGGGAGCTGAGCGTCAGACGGGGACAGCAGCGTGGTCTGGCTTGGCCCCGCTGCGGAGGCCGCTACGGCTGCGTGCTGTTCGTGGACCCCGATTTCTGCACTCCCGTGCGGGGACAGCTCGGCCGGACTTTCCTTGGGGGCTGCCCCTCTGGGCTCCTCGACAGCCTCAAGGACCCTGACCTTCAGGAGAAAGGGAAAGCAGCCATAAAGGCGTTTGCACCTCGACTAATTTGGATTGTACAAAGAAATAGGTTTTAAGAGAACTAGTTAGTGTCTCCCCCCTTCTCGGTTCTGGTCAAAAGTCAGGGAGGGCTTGAACAGCATCCAGGGACTGTTGTGGAAGGCAGGCCCGGGAGTGGCCAGCCACGTCGGCCCCATTCACGGTGACGAGGACATCGGACTGAGAAACAGAGCACCCGTCTGTCCTCTCAGATGACTGTTGCTCTGTTGTAACAGCGACCCTTGGCCCATGAAGCATGCGTGTTCCACACATGGCACGGCTACTTCGTGTGCAAGAAGAGGACCCTAAATCCAGCCCTGATGGGGAAGTGATTGAGCGGTGGTGGTTCTTTTGTGGCGAACCTTTTGTTGTTGCTTTTTCCGTGTTCCTTGCAGAGTTTCTAGTAGTTGTTATCTCTGGGCATGCCGGGCCACCCTTGCCCCCCTCCGGCCATTGACTGGAAAGGTCTGTCTCTTCTGAGCTAGGCTAACGGCGTCCTATGTTCCTGCTCTGAGGTGGGCCTCTTTGGAAGGCCTCTGGCACTCGCACTCGGCTGCTGATCAGAAACTTGCCGGCATCGCGAGGGGACCCGTGAGGAAAGCCCCTCCTGTTTCACACTACATGAACGCTGTAAGGGGACACCACCAAGGTCAGGGGTGAGGCCTGCTGTCTTCTCCTGACCGGCCTGCAAGGCTCTGGACCAGATCTTCCTGGGCCTTCCTCAACACTCGTAGCCAGCTCCTGGGCTGAGTGTGTGATAGTGCTGCTGCTTCAGAGGAAAGGGGACCCACCGGCACCAAAACCTGTCCCGGGCCAGGATTCCTAGCCTCCCCAGGGTGATCCGATGAGGCGTGTGTAGTATCACAGGTTAAAAAGAACACAGACTCGCCGTTGTCGTTTGACTGTTTATTTACTCCTGCAGAGTTTTGCTTTTCTTTATTAAAGCCAAAAACAGATTCACGGTTATACAGTAGTGATTGTTACTTGTCACCAGTGGCCTGTGAGCTTAGGGACCTGGATTGTCCTTGAAATGTTCACAGAGGGCACACCTGTAATCTGAGGAGCCCTCCTCCTCCTCGTTCTCACTGGGGACCTCGTCTGGGGACATGACCGAAAGGGCAGCCAGCAGGATAGAATAGCAGGTGTTGTACAGCGACATCACTGACCCGTAATCTGGGTAGAGTGCGGGGGCGGTGGGCAGCTCCCCCGCGCCCTCCCTTCCGGTGGTAGCCGGGGGCGCAACTGTGTCATTCCCGGAGGTGCCCTCCCCACATGGGCCGCCCTGCTCCCTGGAGGCAGGATTCTCCGTGTCACACCCCGCCGCGCTGCTCAGGGACCAGATACCAGAGAAGGTAAAGGACCCGGTGCCACTGGGTCCCGGAACATTTGGGCCTTCTTTGGGGGCCGCCTTGTCCTCCTTGGTGGATTCCTTGTGATGGATTCGTGGGGACCGTCTTGTAGGTACTACGGGCTTCTTTCTCTTTGACGGTGTTGCGCCGCTCCCTGGCCACCTGGTGACAGTTCTCAGGTCACTTTTTCTCTGAATATTCTCCAGCAGCCCTGGCCTGTCTCGCTGAAAGCGGGAGTTGCGGTAGAGCTGAAATGAGATTCATCATTTTAGACATTCTGGAAGGAAAGAGCCGTGTCCCCTGCTGCCCCCGCCGTCGCCACCACCACGGCCACCGCTGTCCCTACTGCCATCACTGCCCCCACCCCGACCACCGCGAGCATCGCCGCAACCACCGCCTCCATCGCTGCCACCACCGCCCCCCACCACTGCCACCACCACTCTCGCCCCCTCTACCCCCACCACCGCCACTGTCCCCACCACCGCCTCCATCGCTGCCACCACCGCCCCCCATCACTGCCACCACCACTCTCGCCCCATCTACCCCCCACCACCACCACCACAGCTACTCCCTGCCCTCCCCCAGCCCAGGGCAGCCTTAATGGTCTAGTTCTACTAGGGAGAAAAGAGGCTGCCTGTGAGCTTCACTATGCCCTAGACCCTGAGCTCATGAACGACACAGGATGCATAGGTTAAGGTGTTCACATACCTGCGTGATGTTCCCTGGCCTCTGTTTAGGCATAGAGAAATATGTTAATTGAAATATTAATAAGAAATGAAATCCTTTCATTAGATTGTTCATCTGGGTCTACCAGGAAGGTGTTAGAAGGACAGAAAACATGGGAAACGCAAGAACTTTCTACGTTACCATCGTTTTCCTGTTCCCTGGGGCATGAACCGAAGGGTTGTTTGGGCGTATTTTGCTGAACCCGTACAGGTTCATTAGGCGGATGAACCCCTTCAAGCTGTCAGTTTCAAAGATTCTCTCTGGGCCCCTCCGGTGGAGAATCTCCCTCTGGAAAAGGTCTTCATCGATGATCACAGTGTCGCCGTCTTCATTCCAGCACACGGACGTGAAGGTGTTGTCCTCCACGATCCTCCAGAGCCTTCTTGGGAAGGAGAGCCCGAAAATGTTTTCTCCCACGTTGTAGGCACCGTGGTTTGGGGCCGGTGGCTGTGGGTTGTCTTGGGGGCCTGGATCTCGGCTCACGGCTGGATCCTCATGCCTCTCCAAATTCCTGGAATCCAAATTGAGGTGCAGGGAGGACCTGGACGGGACCTCTCCTGCCGACTCCCCATCACCGGGAGGAGCCAGCATGACTTGGTATGTGTCGTCGTTACTCTGACTAGCCATGGAGCTAGTCTAGATCAAGAGCATTTTCACCCTGAGGCCGTCTTCCTAGACTCTCGAGTCAGAAATGCCTCCAGCCAAGACAGGATGCCCAATATATACTGTTCGCGGAATTCTAGAATTGCGTAGTGGGGCAACCGGGTGCCCGGGTCATCGCCCTCCTTATCTGTCATGTGATGTCACAAAGGTGGCTCCGAGCTGGTCTGGAGAGGGAACCCTGGCCAAGTGTGGGGGAGGGACGGGTACAGGCCCCCAGCTTCTCTCTTTTCTACGAGTATACAGAAGCATGGTTTGAGTTCTCCAGAAAGGCTCCTGGCTACAGCCAGGCACACTGTTTCCCGGGGCCAGGCGCTGGATGGATAGAGAAGCCATGATTCTAGGTCCACTCCCACTCCCTGAGGACGGGGGAGACCTGTTGTTGGCCTCTCAGCTTAGCTCAAGGGCCAGGCCCTGGTTAGTCCTGGCTTGACTACCACCACGTCCATCCCAGTCAGATGGGCCCTTGGGGGACTGTAGCTCTCAGAAGACGGCAGTCCTTAGCGGTCTAGCTGGCCTGGTCTCGGTTGGCAGCCCCCCCCCACTTCCTGCTTTGGTCTCTTCCACCTGCTTCTGTTGGTTAGGTGGTCCTGCTCAGACGGGCCTGAACAGAGAGTCCTTTTTTCTCGCCCCTGGATCCAGTGTTCCCAGAGCAGGGCTGAGCTCGGCAGGGTGAGCGCGTCCCTCTTGTTCCTCAAGCTCGGCGTCACCCACAGCGCCTCAGACACACTGTTACCCACAGCGCCAGCGCCGTCTGTGAACGGCTACTGCCTCCACCCTGCTTGAGGGTCTCCTGTTGAGCTCTGCTTGTCCCCAGATCTCGTCCCTCTCCAGATCACGATGGGATTGTCCCTAGTTCCCATTTGTTCCCTGTAGAAACTCTCCCACGTTGGGGACACTTGTGTTCGCCCTTGGCAAAGCTCCTAGCACAGACAGGTGGACGCAGCCTCCCTTGAGGCTGCCTCGAATGCCCGATCTCTTTTCCTCAGCAGAGTGCTGTGGCTCCAGCTCTCCCAGATTTCTGGCCTCCCGCTTCCCAGCTAGATCTCCTTTGGCACTTCCCCTTTTAATGACTTTGGGGTTCAGCATATATTCTGTTCAGTTGAAACAAAGCATTTCACGGGCCCACTCCCATGCCAGCCCTGCTCCCCTTGCCCCGAGCCCACCCCCACCCGACTCCGGTGTTCCTCTCCTACCTCGTCGTTACCTGGATGACCGATCCACTGAGTGATGGTGTTGGCTCTGGGGTTACTTTCCAAAGGTATACTCTATACAGACTCCCTCCCAAGGAAAATTTCAACTTGTTTAGCTAGACGTGACCAGAGGAAGCCAATACACAGTATCTGAAAATAGAGGAGAGTCTGGCTGTGGGGTGGGACAAAACCTAAATGAAAAGTCCTCTTCACCACAAGATGAGAGATTGGGACGGTAGCTTGGGGCATTTGTGTTCTCCAGCCCCCGGGACAGCTCTGTTCTCAATCTTCACTCTGGTGCCGTGCTGCCCCCTCCTTTGTTCCTGCTCCAGGGCTGCTGCCTCCAGAAGGCCTTCCTCCGGGGCCTGGGCCCCCTTAGGGCCCCTCTCCTGGGGCTCCCACGTCCAGCCCAGCTCCCACACAATCCCAGTCGAGGAGCTCCTGTCTCCCCATCCAGACAAGGAAGGAGGTCCTGGAAGACAGCAGTGACCACCATGTGAACCTGGTTCCCAAAAGTTCTGTGTTCCCCCAGCAGCAGCTGGAAAAAAGCTGTGCATTTTAAAAGGGCAGTAGGAGCCCTCGGGGAGGACACCTGCCTCACGGTGGCCGTGCCCATCACTGCGTGGTGTCTGGGCCGTTTACTCTGGACCACAGTCCCTCGAGAAGTTGTCGTGAAAGGCCCAGCCGAGGCCGTGGAAGGTGGAGTCAAGCCCAGCTTTCACTTGAGGAAGTGGAGCCGGTCCCTTCTGCCTGCCCTGAAGCCACGAAGCCACTGGTCCCCTGTGGGGACAAGCAGCAAAGGAGGCTGTCTGGTCTGGTGCTGTCACATTTCTGTCCTTGTCCAAGGCTCAGGGGACACTGGGAAGCATATCCACAGGGCCATGGTGTAAAACGTGCCTTTCTAAAGGACCCACATGTTGGGGCGCCTGGGTGGCTCAGTGGGTTAAGCCTCTGCCTTCGGCTCAGGTCATGATCTCCAGGATCGAGCCCCGCATCGAGCTCTCTGCTCAGCAAGGAGTCTGCTTACCCCTCTCTCTCTGCCTGCCTTTCTGCCTACTCGTGATCTCTCTCTGTGTCAAATAAATAAATAAAATCTTTAAAAAAAAAAAAAAAAAAAGGACCCATGTCCAAGCTTGGTTCCCAGCCGTCCTCCCTTGCTGTACACGGGGGCCCGGACTCTCCCAATTTCCACTGGCTTCCTTTTCTGCAGTATCAGACACATCTCCCTCAGGGACCTTCTCCCACTGGGACTCGTGGTGTTAAAGTCACTCCACTGGTCTGTCTCTGCTGTGAACTCTGATGCCTGGAAACTGAACCCATCTCCCGGTGCTTCCTGCTACTGGAGCCTCTGGACAGGGAGGCCCGTGTGGGAGGGAGAGGCAGCCTGCAGAGAGACAGAGACATCTAGAGACTGGAAAAGCAGGGTTCAGGCTGTGTTCCCGAAATGAGCCAAACAGGTCCTTTGTGCACGGGCCCCTAGGCGCTGGAGTTCACCAGAGCGGACTGCCCCCGTCGGCTCAGACAGCCCCCAGCACCCAGCTCTGATTTTCTTTCACATTGGCAGCTCTTCCAAGTGTAGCTTAGGGGAGCGGTTGGCCTTCTGGAGCCAGCCTGTCGGCCACACCCCGGCAAACCTCACCCCGTCTGCTAAGAATACAGGAGATAGAGCTTTGTGGTTCTCACACCCCAAGCCGGTCCCCGAGCTGCTGAGCTGAGTCCCCTGCCCAAGCAGTCCCTTCCCTGGCCTTTGTCCATTAACCCATGGGGCCACGGCGGCAAAACGCCATGGCCAGAGTGGCCCCGGAATGCGGGACATCGCTCTCTCTCCCGGCGCTGGAGGCTGGAAGTGCAAGGTGCCAACGAGGGGCCAGCAAGGAGGAGTGAGAACCCTCCTCCTGGTTCGCAGCGCCCACCTTCTCGCCGCATCCTATCATGGTGGGAGGGGCTGGGGAACCTTCTGGGGCCTCTTTTACCAGGTGCTATTCCCATCCACGAGGCTTCCACCCTCAGGACCTAAACACCTCCCCCAGGCCCCACCTCCAAAGCCATCATCTTTGGTGCTCAGGATTTCCACAGATGTATTTGGGGGAGCGGGGACTCGCTGAGCATGGAGCACTCCACCCTGCATCGTGCCCCCCTGACCATAAGGGCCTGGCCAGTGTCACGCTGTGGGGGGCTCCCCTATAATACGACTCCGTGCCCACGCCACCCAGGACAGCCTGCTGTGTGCTGCTGCCTCTCCTGGCCTTGTCCTCTTCCTGGGTCAGCCCCCAGTCCCTGGAGGCCCCTGCAGTTTGCTCCTGAGCTCCTGGGAGGTCACAGGTCTGAACCTTAGCGGCTGCTGTGGATCCAAGATGAGGTGGAGGGTTTCTAGCTGTCAGCTAGGGCGTCTCTAAGGATGGCGAAGCGAAAAAGGCCTCTGCTCGAGGCGTGCCTGGACTTGGCGCAGGAAAGCCACTGACTCTGTCAGACCCGGGACTCACAAAGCCTCGTGGGCGGGCTGGAACGCCGAGCCGAACCTGAACGCGTGCACTGGGGGCGGCCCTGTGCAGCCTCCGCCTCATCATCAGCTGTGCGGAGAGGACAGCAAGCTAAGCGCCAGGGACAGATCTTGAGCTCTGGGATCCTTGCAGATGTGGGACAGCCCTCTGCAAGGCCCAGATCCGTCCAAATATCTTGGGTGCGTTCGCAGACCGTGAGGGTCCCTCCCAGATGTTCAGGGTAGAGGGCCGGTTCTCTCCTGCAAGGGCGTCATTGCTGCCTGTGGGCGTGGCATCCCGGACGCAGACCAGTGAGTGCCCTCCTAACTCAGGGCCCCCCCGGGAGGCCCCACGGCCCCAGAAGGCCCATCACCGGGACCCTGAGGCCTCCACACGCCCTGCACTGATCCAACACAGCCCCCTCTGCGTTGGCCTCATCGGCAGGCCTAGCCCGGCTGGTTGCAGTCTGCGACAAACACTGCTTGCCTGGGTCCCTCCCGCTTCCCCTGCTGCACCCACCAGGCTGTGAGGGTGTTCAGCCAGCCTTCCCGGGAAGGCATTGCTCTTTCCTCTCCCCCTCACGGGAGAAGCGATGTACACCCGTCGCAAAAGCTGTTGGAAATTCAGGACGTCATCCCCACCACCCCTGGACAGTGACGAGTCTTTCTGGTTCCCTTCTATGACGATGCTGGTCTGTGGAAATGCTTTCGTGCCCGCCACATAGGAGCCTCCAGACGAAAGGGCCTGGGAGAGAAGAGGGGGTGAGGGAAACAACGCAGTTTGATCACTGAACGACACACTGATTTGTTTATCTGGAGGAAAGGCAAGCCCCACACCCAGGACATGTGGGGCGGGGGTAGGGCTCTGTGATCCTGAGGTTCCAGAAGTGCTCCTGGAAGCCTTGTCCCCTCCCAAGAGATGCTCCTGTGCTGCCCCCAGAGCTGCCACAGGGCGGGCAATTCAAACCGACTGCCAAGCCTGGGAGCAGCCAGACAGCAGTGTGACAGGGTCGGGGGTGAGGGGAGGCAAGGGGGGAGGGGGAACCTCCAGCAGCACAGCCACAAGTCACCTCACTTCTACCATTCTCCAACCGGAGACCGCGACACATCCCACAGGGTCAGGGCTCCGGCCCACCAGGTGGTCCAGCCCCACTGCTACCAGTCCCAAGCCCCGGGTTGCTCTGGGCGCTTGTGACCAAGGGGCTCTAAGGCACAGGCTCCCGGAGCCCGTCCTCCGCTTCCCCGCACGGGTTGGAGCAGCTCCAGGCGCTCAGGCACACAAGCCCCTCACCGGACCCCCGGCTGACTGTACAAGGCCATAGCTCAGGAACACCAGACCCGAGAGCCGCGGAGGCCACAGGCGGCGGGCAGGGGTGCGCGCACAGTGTCCATCCCTCTGGGTGCGCCTCTCCGCCTGCATCTCCACGTCCCCACCTGAAATCTCTCGAGCCCGTCCCTCGGGGGTTTCATGGAGGCTCCCTCACTCAATCTCCAGCCCCCTCAGCCCTCCCCCGCGGTCAGGGGGTCCGGGGACCGAAAGCTCCCACCCTCCAGTCACCTGGCCCGTTCTCCTGGCAGCCAGGCTCCCCGCGTAGGTGTTGCCCAGAGCTACCTCTGGACATAACAAAAGTCACCTTCCTCACTCCCCACACTTTGGAATTACGAGGGTTTGGGGAACTCAGAGTCAGGGCTCGGGACCAAGACCAAATAGAAATGAGATATGTACTGTGGTCATTGAGTGACCAAGCCTAGATCTTCCTTATGAATCACGGTATCACACCTACATTCCACACTCTCTGAATCCTGCTGCTGTGACCCTGGGCCCACAAAGAAGTTTTGAGACCCAGCTTTCAAGTCCTCGACTGTACACTCAGAATTGGGATTGCTGGCCCATACAGAAATTTCCATTTCTGCTTTGTTGTGGCCCTGCCCCCATGCTTTCCCACAGCAGCTGCTACCAGGTTCCATTCCCACAAGAGTGTACAAGGGTTCCGATTTCTCCACAGATCCAACGTCGAAAAGGCCACAAAACTCTTTCTTGTGCTCAAAATTTCTGATGCAGGTGGAAGGCAGCAAACACCCTTCCTTCCTGTCACGAGAGAGTGCTCGGGCTTCTGCAGGATCCAGTGTGTATTCTCAGAGCCAATTCTCCATTCCAGACTTACCCCCACACCGAAGGCACCCCTTCTCCATGTAGGACCACGGTCACAGCACACTAACTGGCGATCACCTGGGACCAGAAGTAATCATGGGGACCAGACGCCCCAGCCACCTGGGCTCATGGCATTTCTACTGCGGTGCTCGCCGCGAGAGCTGCACCCCGCCTTCCTTTTTCCACTTCTTCTGCAGTTCTCAGGGCACCCCTCCCCAGCTTCCCACTAGGACTGGGGCTGCTCGACACAGACTTCTGTGGCTGCGACGTGTCCTGCTTCTCCTAGTGTCCTCCCTGCACATCCACAGGGCCTTCCAGAAAGGAGAGCTCAGTGTGTGTCTGGCAATCAAGGAGCCAGCGAGCAGGGCTCCCTCTGTGCTGAGAGGACATTTCTCCTCCATTCTGGAAGAACCAAGCCAGGGCAGGAGCCCCCGCGGGTGTGCCTCTGGCATGTACACGATGATAGACAGAAAGGCATCAGAAGCAAGAACAAACTTTCCTTTTATTTCTCTAGTTCCTGGCCCCATCACTTCGCTCCTCGTTTCTTTCGACTTTTCAATCCATCCCTCCAAATGCGTTGTGATTTTGAACTGGAGCCCAAACAAGGAGACAGCGGGTCCGCCGGTTTCCAGGAAATGACAAAACTGACAAAACTCATAACTCTTGAACTGGGTCAGGACAAACGCTGTGTAGGGGGATGTCACTCACACACTCAGCCGCTGAAGCCAATGAAGCCTCCTATAACAAGGAAGCCCACCGGAGAGCTTCGCCAGGGACACCAAGCTCTGAACTTGGGAGGCATCGCAGGGAACCGCCCCCCCGCACCCCCTAAAGGAGGCCCTTTGCCCTGCATTTTCCCTCAACCCCCTCTGGCCCTGCACTGCTTAGAATGCCAGGGATCTTTCTACACCCGCAGGCACAGGCGCGCACGCACACGCGCGCACACACACACACACACGCACACACACACACACACACACACACACACAAACACAGAAACAGGGAAGAACCAAGAAATGGCCTCACTTCGTGCCCAGCACCCCGCAGGACAAGCTGCCTGCCGACCCCGCCGGAGCCGGGACCGCACCACAGCCGCCCCTGGGGCTCAGGCCCCCTCTTCCTCATGGCTCACAGCCTCTTCAGAGGGGGCCGGGGAGGGAACCGGCAGCCCGGGATAGACTCGCAGCAAATACTCCAGCACTTGCAACCTGCTGGTTTCCGCGTGGGCCCTGGGACCCCACAGGAACTCGTAGCGGGCAGGGTCACTGCCGGGCACCTGCCGGTACTCCAGGTACCCTTCCTGCACCCAGACATTGGTCAGGAGCTCCCGGGGCTCCCCATAGATGATGTGCTCCTCGCCGGCATACACCCCCATGACCCCCAGCGCTTCCCACACCACCTCCTCGTGGGCACGGTCGCCCTCCAGGAGGATCACCCCCAGGAGCACCACCAGGAGGCCGGTCTTGGGCGGGCCCTGCTCACCGCTCAGCATCGCATCGCAGGTGAGGCCCAGGACAGTGACCAGGACGTAGGAGTGCTCACTGGGGTCCACTTCCTTCACCTCCACGCCGAACACCAGCCGCATGCACTCGGACGCCTGGCCCAGGATCCCGGGGAAGGCGTCCTGCTCACCCTCGCCGACGATCGCCAGCATCTCCGCCTGGCTGATCGGCTGCTTGGTGCGAAACTTTTGGAGCAGGAACCCCACCAGGCTGACCGCCCTCACGTGGAGTGCAGCGTGGTGCAGGGGCTCGGCCACCCCCAGCTCCCCCCCAGTGCCAGACCCTTCCTCCATCGCGGAGCTGGAGCTGTCTTCAGACAGGCTCCAGGGAGAGGCTGCCATGGCACTGGGGGCGGGGAAGGCCCTCTGAGGGCTCTGGGGAGGACTCGGGCCTCCAGAAGCGGACTCCTCCTCCGGGGTATTAGGGAACAGGACAAAGTAAGAAGAGGAAGAGGAGGAGGAAGGGGAGGATAAGTGGGAGGAACAAGACGAGAAGAAGGAGGAGAAACTGGAGGAGAAGGAGGAGGAGGAGGAGGAGGGGGAGGAGGAGAGAGACAGGGCCTCCGCAAACCCCGAAGCCTCATACAGCTGCGCATCTGCCAGGCGCTGGGCCTCTCTGGGGTCCTGAGAAGCCTCCTCCAATTTCCGGAGCTCGTTCCTCCCGCCCACAGGCATGATGACTTGTGTCTGGCAGCAGCCCCAGGTGTGGGCAGGACTGGGCGAAGCGACCCAAGGGCCTGGGAGAGAGAGGGGGTGTGAAGGGCCTCAGCTGAGGAAGGTGCCCTCGGCCGCCTTGACGAAGGGGACTCCGAGTCTTCTCCGTACTGGCCCTCTCGGGCCTCGCACGGGGTCTCTCCTCCGGGGCAGCCCGTCCCCTTCAAAACTGAAGGAGGGAAGTCCAGGGTCTCCTCTGCTCTCTCTCTCGCTCTCTCTCTCTCTCTCTCTCTCTCCTCTGCTCTCTCTCTCTCCTCTCCTCTCCTCTCCTCTGCTCCTCAGACCCAGGGCTTCACCTCCCAGCTCCCGAGTCCCCTGTGGGGGGCGGGGGAGGCACCTCAGGGTGCAGACTGGGAATACAGCCCAGGGCGCCCAGGGCCCCCAGGGCAGACAGGAGAGCGGGTCTGACGCTGCGAGGTCCCCACTTCCAGAGGGTGGTGGTCCCTGCTCCCTCAGGGCACTTACCTTTGCACTGGCAGGGCCTGGGCCCACCCCTCTGCTGGCCTGAAGCCCCAGTCTCAGAACAAGACCACAGAGCCCCGAGACCGAACAGAAGCAAGTGAGCGTGTCCACATCTGACCGCACCCACCCGGGGCCTCCTAGCTCCCTGGGAAGGGGAGGCTGCTGGGTCCTTGACTCCTGCCAGGGCCCACGATCCTGCCTCAGCTGACCTGAGTCCAGACCATCAGACCAAGGCCCATGACTCCCTGAGAGCAGGGATCTGGGAGTAAGAAGGGGCTCGGCCTGACCGGCCATGCCCAGAGTTCCCAGAGCTGGCAGTAGGGGCAGCCCAGGGTTCTCTGGGGTCCCTCCTTGTTCTGGCAATTGGGGTCCACGCTCTCTTGCCTCAGGGTTGTCACCTGGGACTCCTGACACCCAGGCGGGCTTCCCCAGAGGACCAGATGGCGTCCTCTCAGAGCATGGTCCTCACCTCCGTGAAGCCCCAGAGAGCCGGAAAAGGCACCTTGGACACTGTGATATACAAGCAGATGAAGATTTGCTCTTTGTCCGCACTTCCTGGCTCTCTGCTCTCAAACCCTCATAATTCCTAAGTGTGGGGAGTGAGGAAGGTGACTTTTGTCAGGTCCACCAGGTGACTCTGGGCAGCACCGAGGCGGGGGCCTGGCTGCCAGGAGAACGGGCCAGGTGACTGGAGGGTGGGAGCTTTCGGTCCCCGGACCCCCTGACCGCGGGGGAGGGCTGAGGGGGCTGGAGATTGAGTGAGGGAGCCTCCATGAAACCCCCGAGGGACGGGCTCGAGAGATTTCAGGTGGGGACGTGGAGGTGCAGGCGGAGAGGCGCACCCAGAGGGATGGACACTGTGCGCGCACCCCTGCCCGCCGCCTGTGGCCTCCGCGGCTCTCGGGTCTGGTGTTCCTGAGCTATGGCCTTGTACAGTCAGCCGGGGGTCCGGTGAGGGGCTTGTGTGCCTGAGCGCCTGGAGCTGCTCCAACCCGTGCGGGGAAGCGGAGGACGGGCTCCGGGAGCCTGTGCCTTAGAGCCCCTTGGTCACAAGCGCCCAGAGCAACCCGGGGCTTGCCCAGTGACCCCTGAAGGGTGGGACACTCTTGTAGGCCTGAGCTCCTGCTCTGTGGACTCTGAAGCTGTCTCTGGATGGAGAGTGTCGCAGCTATGCTGAATTCCTGGACTCTTTGTGGGTGTACGAGGTTCGCTGTCACAGGGAACCCCCTCCGTGCAACGGCTGGTACCAAAATGCACCTATACCACCCCCAGGCCACCCCCCAGGGCTAAAGGGGGGCCCGGTGCCCTGTCCCGCGGTGGGGATTCCCTCAATCTCCGAGGAGGTTGCTCTTTCCTCCTGCCAGGACCTGCCCTTCCTCCCAGCCCCATCCTGAGTTAGAGGCCTTGTGCCTCTCAGCCCAGGACCTCACCTCCCGGAGGACTCCCCACCTCCCTGCCCATGGGACACGTGAGCATGCCGCTTAGCGCCACCGCTCACTGTTCCTTCCAAGACCGACAGCAAGGCCGAGCTGGACTCTGTGCTGTCCTTTCTTCCCTGAAATGGGGGTGGGGGTAAGGGCCGTCCTCCTTCGGGGTCCTCACATTACTGCCTGGGTGATCCTGGGATCCTCCCTCCGCTGCCCTGACATTTCCCACAGACCAAGGGCCTCACGTCCCTGACATCCCCCAGCCCCAACCGTGGGGCACAGGTGGGGCGTGCCACATCCAGCCGTCCCTGCTAGGCCCTCCCTGGCAGAGGGCCCTGCTGAGAACAGGGAAGCTGCACTCTCTAAGGCCCCTTCTCTCTTGATGTGGGGGGAACCTTCATACCCTCCAGCCTCCCAAAGGCTCCTTTTGAGTCCTGGCCATTCTTTGAACTCCCTTCTCTGCTGACCAGGTAGGGCTCCCTCTGTGGCCCTGAAGTCAGCCCCCGGAACAGAATCTCTCAGCCCCGAGCAGGAGGGAGGGGTGCTCCACGTGCAGCCTCTCCTGCCTGTGCTCTCTGAGGACGTGTAGGTCGGGACAGTGGGGCGCACTCGGCCTGGGCGGGGAACCCCCTCAGCATCCTCAAGGGGCGCCTACTGATTCCACTAGGGCTGCCTCCTTCTCTTCTCACCCAGAGGATACGCCCTGCAGAGCCCAGCCCTCAGGACCTGAAGACACATGTGGGCGGCTCATGGGGTTCAGCCCAGCCAGCAGGGGCCCGACGTCCCAGAGCTGACAAAGGGCCGTGGGTATCCAGGGGTCCCCTCAGGTTTGGGATGGGCAAGGCCCTGGCTCCAGGTTCCAAGCAAGTACCACACCTTGACCACTGGCACTCACCTGCGCTGTGAACTCACGGACTCCTGCCTCAGACCGAGACCTCCACGCCCCGTTCTAGAAGCCCCTGGAGGAGAGAAGGAGGAGGCACCTCAGGGTACAGACTTAGAGCACAGCCCCGGGGCCCAGGGCACACAGGAGGGCTGGGTTGGACTCCCTGAGTTGGCCACACGTCCAGGCTGGGCGGTCCCCTCCTTGGCCTCTCAGGGGACTTCTTTCCCCTGCCAGGACCTAAGCCCCACCCCCCTTGGCCCAGAGGCCAAAGGGTCCCAGCAAGACCACACAGCCCTGAGCCTCCACGGAAGGAAAGCGAGGGGGTCCACATCTGGACCGGCCTGCCATAGGTCTACAGGGCTCGTTATGGATCTCCAGGGATGGCCAAATGTGGGGTTCCGTCTATGCGGGATGGGTCTGCCTCTTTGTCTATACCTTGACCCCAGGAAGGCCTGGGAAAACTCCCTGTGTTGACTGGAGGCCACCCTCCTGGTGTCAAGGCCTCATCTCATGGAGAAGCCAAAAGGAAAAGCGAGGAGAAATCAGTCTGCCCACCGATCCCCCGTCTCCCCATGGCTGACAGAAGTGTGAGGGCAGGCCTGGGCCCTGGGGAT